GAGAATCTTAAGCAGGCTCCACGCCCAGCACAGAGCCCGAGGGGCTCGATCTCACAACCCTGAGATCATGACCTGGGCTGAAATCAAGAGTCAGACGCTTAACTGACTGAGCCACCCAGGCACCCCAGTAGGTCATTTTCAAAATGACATTTTGAAGAAGTCTGCTTATAAACAGGTAGTAATTACATTAGCTTGTGATAGCCCAGACTCACTTTGTTTTGACGGTATACTATCCAACAAATTTCTAGGTCTGATTTGGCTTACTATGCAGATTTCTCTCTTGGGAGAGAGTAATGTTGGCTAGAAGATGGGACTATCCAATCTTATTAATGGTCTGTTTCTTGGAGCAGAAATTAGCAAATTGGCCATTTACTTGATATGTTGGCCTTTTGTGGACTTGGTTAGAATGAGCCCACTCTCAAGAGCCATGACAATGGAAGACCAGATTCTGGACCTTGGGGACACAACAAACGTGCCTGGTCTGGCCAAAGACATCTGTCACCTCTCACTTTCCAGATGGGAAACAGAGCTGCAAAACAAGTGGTGTGACTTTCCCAAGGTGCTCACAACTGCTCAGCAGTGACAAATCTGGGCTTGGAATCACAGCCTCCTGACCCTCACGCTGGAGCTAGCCCCACACCCAGGTCCGATCTTGTCCCCTGAATGGCCGAAATGGGCAGGTAGGAAGGAAACAAGAGATGACCGGAGGGCAGGATTTGCTGTCTTTTAAGTGTGCTCCCTATCAAATAGGAAGTTATCATTTAAAACCAGGCATAGTACAAGTGCCATCCACCGCATTCTAGGAGGGGGAGTGAGTGCCAGTGGCTCATGGAGTGCCACGCCGTGGAGTGCCATGCCTGAGCTACGGGCATGATTTGGTGCTGACGTCGTGACCGCTGTCAGTGGGAGCTGTGTGGAAGCATCCCTGGTGTGGTCACAGAGCCACCTGGTGACGTATGACTAAGCAGCTCCAATTGGCTTGCTCCGGTGCCCCGTGTAATGACATTTCCTCCAAAGTTCAGGGGTTAACAGCGGCAGCGTGCTCAGCTGGGGGAATTGGAGAATGTGACTCAAGACGGGCTAAGTGAATTTGAGATTTTATTTAGCAGGAACAAGGGAGACGTGGAATGTTCTTAAAACATTTGGAATCTGGGTTTTTTTTTTTTTTAAAGGGCCCAAAGCAGAGGCTAGATCCATGGGGTTCCAGTGCTAACAGCTGAGTGATGGAGCCTATTGTGATCACCCCAAACCCTAAATTAATTTTAACTGGAAGTCAACTGAATGGGGGAACGTCTCTAATGTCATGGGGCTTTGGGACCATTCACTTGACTTCCAGTGAGAAAAAGAGAGAGGGACAGCATGAGCAGAGAGAGGGAGAAGCAGAGTCTCTGCTGAGCAGGGAGCCCGATGCGGGGCTCCATCCCAGGACCCTGAGATCGTGCCCTGAGCCGAAGGCAGAGGCTTTAACCCACTGAGCCACCCAGGCGCCCTAAATAAAATCTTTAACCAAAATAAAATGTCTTGTCTGAGTTCAACTGCTGATGTAGAATTGGACCTTAGGTAATCTTGGGTAAATTGGCCAGAAGTCTCACTGATAACATCAACAGTTAACTCATATTTTGCACATTATATGTATTATATACTGCATTCTTACAATGAAGTAAGCTAGAGAAGAAAACGTTATTAAGAACTCGTAAGGAAGAGAAAAATACATGTATAGTACTGTGTTGTGTTTATTGAAAAAAACCCCACGTGTCAGTGGACCTGTGCAATTCAAACCCGCATTGTTCAAGGGTTAACAGTACTTAAAAAGAAAAAAAACAAAACCCATCTTTCATGAAGTTTCATCTCTGTCTTTCCTGATGCTTACCCAGAGTAGAGTAAATGTTTGTTGTTGATATCCTTTTTTTTTTAAGATTTTATTCACTCATTTATATGGAGAGAGATCACAAGTAGGTGGAGTGGCAGGCAGAAAGAGAGGGGGAAGCAGACTCCCGGCTGAGCAGAGAGCCCAGTGTGGGGCTCCATCCCAGGATCCTGAGATCATGACCTGAGCTGAAGGCAGACGCTTAACCCACTGAGCCACCCAGGCGCCCTGTTGTTGATATCCTTGAACCCTGCCTCATCCCATTGTGGGAGCGGGACCTTAAAAGCATCTAGCAGTATAGCCTGAGAAGCAACCCTTTCTTTCTTGTCTGCATCACAGTTGTGGTCAATGGAGGGAGGGAATCCTGCTGTTCATCTGACCTTGGCAGATCCAACTGGAAACTAACCAGCTAATTTCTGGACCCAAATGGTAGAGAGAAAGTTCAGCTCATCTGGGACTCCGCTTCATGCCATACTAAGCAGGCTAGTGAGGCTTGCAGAGTGGCAGAAGATGAAAAAGCACAGGCGGGGTAAATATGCAAATTTGCATTTCCTTTAACAAGCCCCAGTGCTTTGCAGATAGAAAAGGGGAATTGCTTCTCCATTTTGTATGTATAAATGGTTGGGATTCGCCCAAGGCAAATGGCCTGTCCCACAGCCTACTTCTCCTTGTTCTCCCCATGCCCACTCCACATTCAACAATTCTGCTTTTTCCCAGCTGGGATACGATGTTCACTACCATGCAGTTTGAGGTTTGGAAGGGTGTGGTACTGTGGACGGGGTTGCCGGTTATATTTGCTTTTTCCACCGCTCTTAGGCTTTGCTTTCTGTACTCCGCCCTAGAGGCCTCTTCCAGCTCCTTCTGGTGTAGCTCCTTGTGCTACAGAACAGGCTTTCAGCGAGAAGAACAGTGTCCCTGGGTAAACTCAAGTGTATCGGGCTTTTCCAAAAAGGAAACTCTGTATGTCGCGGCAGCGCCCCTCGAGCAGATGCAGTGGCTGACTCTTGCTGATGATGTACGTTTCATTTTCTGATCAGGTGATTTGTCCTAATTCCAGCCAAGTGCCCGTGCAAGTGAATAATGCCAGTGTTGCCACGTACGGGCAGTCAGTCAGCCTGGAGAGGGAGTAACAGAAAAAGAAAGGGGCGGGTTTTTTATCACTGCTTTTGCTCTCCTGCCTTATTCTGCTGATATTTATTTCTGCTTCTTATTTCGGACTCTCCCCATGTCCACATGCACACACATATTCGTGCTCCCATTAAGAATTACAGGGTAAAAATGAATGAATATTTTGCTTTGTTAGCATTTCGGTGTGCATGGCATTAACACTTCCCCACCGATGGGCCCTAAGGGAAGTTCAGTGAACCTGGAATCCTCTGGGATACTAGGTTCTTTCTCCAGGGTCTTTCGTATCTTGTTCATCCAGACTTTGGCATCCTGAAACAGAATGCCTAATTATTCCTGGACAACGTTGAAGTTTATATTGGACTGTAGTGTCATTTGACTCTTGACTCTTGAGTAAAGGGCTCTGATGAGCCCTTTACGAAAAGTAGATTAGTGTGTCATTTTTGTTTTTATTTTTTTTCAAAGATTGATGGATCAATTGATTTGAGAGAGGGAGAGCACGCGAGAGCATGCATGTGAGTTGGGGGAGGGGCAGAGGGAGAGAGAGAGAGAAAATCACACGATCCTGAGATCATCACCTGAGCCCAAATCAAGAGGCGGCTGCTTAACCAACTGAGCCACCCAGGCACCCCTAGTGTGTCATTTTTAGATGTGATTGGGCTCTTCGGTCGTATTGTTTTGACTGCAGAACATTCGTTGATTAAATGAATAGCACAGTCATGAATCCCGGAATAGGCAGATTTGTCTAGGCTCATATTTGCATATAGTATCTAGGTTGTTACTCCTTCCCAATTTGAAAAAAAATGGCTGCTATATATTTTTGTTCTAGAGACAGAGGTTAGGTCTTGAAGAATATGGACACAAAGAAGAGAAAATTTTGCCTTGACGTTGTCCCAGAAAACACACAGATTAGGAATTAATTTGGCCCATTACCAGTCTTGTCCCACACGAAGAGATACATTTTATTTCCATCACCGCATCTGGGAAAAGAAGATTCAGACTTCTAGACCTCCTGGAATGAAACGTTTTTAGAAGGTGCATTTCCATCCGGGATGTGGGTTTCCCATAGATAAGTATATCTACGTCATTGGTTCGCAAATTCATGGATTTTGCCTATGTTCGAGGATGCTTCTAGTTTCAAATACATGTATATGAGACTAGAAGAATTGTCCATACATTTTAATACATTGAATACATTTATAAATCAACAATTAATTTGTATTTAAAACAACAGCTGACTGGTGTCTTCACTCGGGACAGTGGCCTATCAGAATGAAGGCAAAGTGAAATGTTGTATTTATTTCCTGTTTTGTTGCTGACAGTAGAGTACTGTTAGGAAGGCCAGAGGTCCCATCCGAAAAAGTCACCTGAGGCCAGGAAGAGCCGGCATAGGTTCAAATCCATGAAGACAGGCTGAGAGGGGCAAAGTCAAATAGCAAAAACCAGGCACCGAGGCTGGGAGCCAAAGGCAGGCCTTGGAAAAGTTTGGGTGGCATGGAGTTGGGATCCCAGGCCATTGGGACCCAGTGGGTGGCAGCGGGGAGGACGGGGAGCAGAGGAACAGGCAGTGTGTGGACAGTGGTCCTACTGAATCCGGTGATTAAACCGCGCACTTGGAAATGTGTCAGAAAGGTTCCGCCCCCTTCTTCGCGGACCATCAGTACGCTGTGTAGGTGACAGGCATGAACTGTAACCCATGCATTCGCGTTTTCTGGAACTGGGCTGAGTATTGACATGCTCAGGTCGGATGAGCGCATGTGCTGTGGGTTGTGCTTCTTAGCTCAGCTCTCATTTCCCATCACCGCTGCACTCTGACTCACCGATGGCCTCCCACATGTCATTAGGTGGCTCAGCTGCTGCTTTCACTTCTCCCAAAGGTGCACAGAGGTTTGGGTCTCAGCTTGTACATTTTTGCCTCCTGAGAGCCAGAGGAAGTGGCCGTTTGCTAGTTTGGTTTGCTGAGTTGAATACTTATGGTGTCTGACAGTTTCAATTTCCTTTCTCATAGGTATTTGATCCTGATGACCTTTATTCAGGGGTCAACTTCTCCAAGGTTCTGAGCACACTTTTAGCTGTCAACAAGGCAACAGAAGGTAAGCAGGCTTTGTGATTTATGAGTGGCGCCTGACATGTTTGGATCCATGGGCTTCTCATTCCCCTAGGAGCCAACTGTGGCCAGGACGGTTCGATCGGGGCACATTTCTCCTCTCCTGGCAAATAAATCCCAGTGGGGGTCACATGCCTTAATTGTCCATGGAGTAGGATTTTAACACGCCTCTCACAGATGTTACTGCAACGCCTTTCGTATAAGGATAAGAACCAAGAAGCTATTTTGTTCAAAGCTGTGGAATAAGCCCCTGAGTGTAACAGGACAGAAAAGGAAAAGGAAAAGACAAGTTCTCTTTTTCATAAACTTCACAGAAGGTAGCTGTTACTTCCCTGTCCCCCCGCTACTGACATGTTTTTCTCAGATTTTTGTATGTGTTTCTCCATGTAAAGGAAGCCATCAGTAACCTTGCACTGGAAATGAAACCTCAGGTTCCTAGTGAATGAAAAAAATCATTTTTTTTATTGTTATTTAAATGTTTAATAGCCACCACATCAGAGGTACTGAATATAAATCTTAAAAAATGTAAAGAAAACGTGGATATCTTGGAGTATAACTTCACTCCTTCTGCAAGACAGCATCTTCTTACCTACAGCTGGATGGAAATCACCAGAATTAGAATGCGTTGAGACAAAAAAAAAAAAAAAGGCATTGAGCCCTTACCATGGGTCTAAAACAATTCTAAGAACCATCGGTGGGCTCATCTTTGAAACAATTCTAGGGGTAGGTATTATTATTAGGTCCATATGACAGATAAGGGAAATCAGGCCCACAGTTGCCCAGTTAGCAAGTGGCAGAGCCGGGATTCAGACCTGCATCAGATGGAGCCCCAACCCTTAATGCCGGAGCATGGCTCTTGGGGTTCAGACTGTTGGAAAGTCAACAGGCTGTGTGCCCAGCACTGCCAGGCACCACAAAGGAAGTGTAAGATACAGTCCCCGCCCTTGAGAAAATGTCTATTTAGGAAGGCTCCACTTAGCCACGTGAGATGATTGGCGAACAAGAGCAGACAATGTAGTCAATGCCAAAGCTATCAAGTAATTGCCATTTTAGTGAAAAGAGCTGTATATAATAAGCAATAAGTGTAAAAATACTTCTCTGGAGTTGTTCTTTTGCTATTTGGGAAAAAAATGCTTTTGAGCCATTGCAAGGCGCGTAGCAGAAAGTACAGCTAATTCAAGGAACTATATTTAACACACACGACAAGTACCCAGGGCTGGGCAGGGAGGATCGTGTAATTCTAACATTATGCCATACAAATTATACGTTCTTTTGCCAAACTCTGCTAGCAGGTTTTACAGTCTCTTCCCTTGCCACAGATATTTATAAAATATAAGGAGGTGAAAGTTAAAACATCAAGGAAATTACTTGGATACTGAGCTTGTCGCCTAGGGAATGTTTGGGCTCTAGACTTTTGCAGTTTATGTCTTTTAAAAATAAATGGAGAGGAAAAGAACCCTCATTTGAATTTGTCAAGAAGCTAGCTACTCTCTTTAGCATGCTGTCAGCATACGGAAAACATCCAGCTCAGTGCTGGTCTGATCGAATTTCACGAGGTTTCAAGGAAGGGAAGATTCTTGAATATGAGTTTTTTAAAGAAGGATCCTCGGTGTCAAGATTGCATCTCTCCCAGATACACGTTCTCTCTCCGATTCTCCTTCTCCTGGGCTCCCACCCCACCGACCCCATCCCCCAGCCCCAGGCTGGTCACAGACGCCACACATACTGCTGCCTACCACGACGAGAACCACCCAGTTAAGGGCCAAAACACAAAGAGAGAAGTTTGAAATATTTCAAAGTAATAAGAGCCACAAACAGCTGTTTGGTACCCAATATAGTTCTGCCTTGGATAACAGGGCGTACTGTTGCCACTGGTTCAAGAGGGGCCAGTGGTAGGGAAATGGGTTAAGCGAAAATGTGGCTTTGTCGCTGTTTTTCATTCTACTGGACAGCGATGGCCAGTAAGGTTACGCAGGAGGAAGCTGGCCGCTGGCATGGAGGGGGCGGGTGGTGCGGAATGAAATGCACTTGGCACGTCCCTAGCCGCAACCGTGAGGAGGACGGCCCCGGGAGCCTTTGATGATGTCCCAGGAAAGACGGCGTGCTCTGTAGCTGTGTTTCGGACAGGAGCAGTTCGCTTTATCTTGCCTTTTCTTCTTTTCACAGATCAGCTCTCAGAAAGACCATGTGGACGTTCCTCTTCTCTTACTGCTGCTAATAGTTCTCAGACGAACCCGCAGGGAGCGGTGGTTAGCGCACCTCCAGGCCCGCAAAGGCAGTCCAAGGCAGTGGTAAGTGCAGAACCCGATTCCCCTTGCCCATTCTAAGATCCTTCAGATGAGATCCCCTGGCCCGGTTTCAGCTGCCTCGGTGGTGAGACAGCTGGCCTCTGTGTTGGGGGCCTCGCCCCCAGAACGACTCTGGAACCCGGCTGCCAGTTCAGGCCTGTGGGCCAGAGGGTCCGAAACTGGGGGGTTGAAGCCCCAGAGTTCTTCCCCTTCCTCGAGCCGAGTGAATCCTTTCCTGCAGAAGGCTCTGCAAATGGAAGTCACTAGAACTACCTCCTCGTCTCTTACTTGCTCTCATCATCCTGATCGTCATTTTAGTTTTTCTCTGTGTTCCTGGGGGGCCTGTGTGGAGCTCCCACATTGGCTGTACCCCGTTGTCTTTGCATTTGGTCTTAATGGGAGCGTTTATCGGGGAGGAACCGCCTGTCTTCTGCTCGTTAGAGACTTTGTTCCCTGTCAGAAGCCACCCACTTGCTCTAAGCCATCAAGAGCTCTTGCTTCCAGAGCACTTTAACTACTTCCAAAGCGCTTAACCTTTTGAGATCACGATCCCTTTGAGGAGCCGATGAACACGACGGTTCCACAGCCCTGGGACCCTCTCAGATTGTGTGCAGAATCTCCTGCCTGTGAACTTCCGGGGGTGTGTTTTGGGTAAAGGTCCGTTGTGCTCATCAGCTTCTCGAAGGCGCCCATGACAGCTTGATGACTCCCCACTCAGGTAACGAGGGGGTATTTGGTGTTTGCCAATGACTAAATCTTAGCCAATTTAAGATATTCTTAGCAATGGGGAGGTGGGTGGCAGATTTTATGGGTAGATTAGTACCTAATCTTGGCTGTGTAATTGTGTAAGACCGTGTCTGTGTGTTGGGTAGAGGCGGCTCATTTAAATAAGTACCTTCAGATAATTGGCGAGGGAGAGGGAGATGAGAGCTGTGACACCCCTTCAAAATACACATTCTCACAAATGCAGAAGGTTACATGCTCTTCGGAGGGGCTTACTAACCTCGCCCCCCGCAGCCACCTCCCACCCCATCCCACTCCTCAGCTAAAAACTCAAAACTGAGGGAGACCTGGGGTTTCACTTTACTGGCCTCCATTCATTTAATTTTTGCCCCTGCCCCATTTAGGGGGCTGCTTAATCTGGTGTGGCTTTTGTTTCTCTAGGAGATGACGGAAAATGGAAGCCATCAGTTGATAGTAAAGGCAAGATTCAACTTTAAGCAGACAAATGAAGATGAGCTGTCGGTTTGTAAAGGGGACATCATTTATGTCACCAGAGTTGAAGAAGGAGGCTGGTGGGAAGGCACATTAAATGGCAGAACAGGCTGGTTCCCTAGTAATTATGTCCGAGAAATCAAATCCAGTGGTAAGTAGATCTTTTAAAAGCCTGTTTGAGTGTGACTCTTGTACTTTCTTATGTTCCTACTGCGATGCTGGTCGTTTTACTGGGTTCCCAGAAACTATTTGTACTTGCGCGTGCATGCCAATAATAAGTGTGGAAGAGAACTGGGGGAGAAAAATCTGTGATTAGATATTTTGAAACAGTGTTGTATTTAGATTACATCAAGGCAGCAAAAACCTAAAAAAGCCAAAGAATTCAAAGCTCAGACAACTGTTCTACCTTAACTATGTCCCCTTCTGTTTACTAATTCTAGCCTGTGAAAGAGTGCACAGTCCTTCCCGGGGCTCTAAGACTCACCATGGTAGAACACAATAATAAGAGAGGCCCTGTGCTAACTTCCTTTTTTTAGCCCTAAGCTCTTTAAGCAGACCTAAGTCTAAATGCCTCCGGGATGTGTTCGAGAAATAACAATAGTAGGACTGCAAGCTGTCTGGCTGCTTTTATTCTGAAGATTTTCCTTAACTCGTTGGGTACTGCTAACTGCTTATCCTTTTTCATAATAATATCCAGAGAATGCAATCTAATAATTCTTCAGTAGTCCTTCTAGAACTTTCTTAGGTAACCTCCTTGCTTTTTTATTATTTAAGAAAGTAGGCCCTGCCTATATTACCAAAGACCCTTGATGTATAAAGATGTACACAATGCAGATAACATAGTGTTCACTTATTCACGTTATTATATCTCTTTACTTCCCCAAAATATTCACCCAAGGGCTCCTTTGAGTGGTTAGCTCCTCAGTGCATTTTTTCTTTCCTAGATGTCTTTATTGTTTTCTTAATGCCTCAAAATTAATACTATTAACGACTGTAATTATAGTCTCATTGTAAATGAATTAAAACATTACAGAGATATATAATGTAGATAATATGAATCTTCTTTTTACCCTCCCCCAGATAACCACTGTTTGGAGTTGTTGTTGTTTTTTTTTTTTAAAGAATTTATTATTTGACAGAGAGAGACACAGCGAGAGAGGCAACACGATCAGGGGGAGCGGGAGAAGGAGAAGCAGGCTTCCTGCTGAGCAGGGAGCTAGAGCCCGAGGCAGGGCTCCATCCCAGGACCCTGGGATCATGACCTGAGCCAAAGGCAGCCGCCTAACTACTGAGCCACCCAGGCACCCCTGTTTGGAGTTTTTTTCCCCTAAAGCATTTAAGAGAAAGTTTAGTTTGCATACTTTCTGTATTGTGTGTTCATTTAAGGGTGGCAGGGGTCGGGGAGAGGGCATCTCTTTTAATGGAATAAATGTTTACTAACAGATTTATAATTACATATGTATGTGTAGACTTCTTAGCACTTATTTATTTATTTATTTATTTTTAAGATTTTATTTATTTATTTGACAGAGAAAAAGATCACAAGTAGGCAGAGAAGCAGGTAGAGAGAGAAGGGGAAGCAGGCTCCCTGCTGAGCAGAGAGCCTGAGGCGGGGCTCAATCCCAGGACCCTGGGATCATGACCTGAGCCGAGGGCAGAGGCTTAACCCACTGAGCCACCCAGGCGCCCCTATTTATTTATTTATTTATTTGACAGACAGAGAGATCACAAGTAGGCAGAGAGGCAGGCAGAGAGAGAGGGGGAGAAGCAGGCTCCCTGCCGAGCAGAGAGCCCGATGCGGGGCTCGATTCCAGGACCCTGAGATCATGACCTGAGCCGAAGGCAGAGGCTTAACCTACTGAGCCACCCAGGCTCCCCTTCTTAGCACTTTTTAAAGATTTTATTTTTGAGTAATGTCTGCACCGAACATGGGGCTTGAACTCACAACCCTGAGATCAAGAGTCACAGGCTCTACTGACTGAGCCCCCCGGGCACCCCTTATCACTTTTCATTACTGGGAATCACAACGTTTCTCCTGAGCCCTGAAATATTTTTCCGCGCCTTGCTTGGAATTTCCTTGGTTTTGATGATCCTTGCAGCTGATTCTTACCCCTTGCTACAGCTTTCAGTTACTGTGAGCTGGTGGTCAGGGTCTCTAGCTTTCCAGATTCACACTAGCTTTGTTCCTTCATTCTGTGTCTTCATCTGCAAAATTAAAAGCCACAGCACTTGCTGCCTTGCCTGGGAATCCCAAGCATTGTTGGGAGGATACGGGAAGTGGACAGACAGCATGCCTTCACCGTCATGTCCCTCACTGACATGCTTCGTAGCACAGTCTGGCTGTTGGTCCTGGGCTTTGGACCCTTCCCTTCAACTTTCTTGTAGATTCTCTTTGGTTTGGAGCTCAGTTAAGGACTCCCATGACAAGCTCTGGCTCTGATCTGAGCACCTAGGTAACCCTCAGAAGCATTTACCCACCCGTCAAGGATAGGTCTGGACAGCAGGGGCCAGCAAGCCTGCTAGTTAAATGAGACCTCACTTAAACTCAGCAACCAGAGTGATTCTTTCAAAACAGAACTTGGGTGATGGCTCCCCATCTGAAAAAGAGTAGAAGCCAAGGTCATCTCGCTACTCTGCGAGGTCCTCCAGGATTTGGCTTGCTGGTGCCCCTCTGCCGTCCTCTCTGACCTTTCTCCCCCTCACTCTACTTCAGCCACACGGACACCTGTGTCACTGGCTGTGCCTCTGCCCGGGACTCTCTCCCCAGATCTGCATGACAGGTTCCCGTACCTCCTTTAGGTCTTTGCTTACTTGTCTGCTTCACATAAGGGCTTTCCCTGGTCACCCGAGGAAACAGAACCTTATCCGAATGGCCCTGCTCCCCTCCCCTGCTCTGCTTTTTGGTTTACCGTTTCTGTCTAATGTGGTATACATGTGCTGATTTATCTCATTCTCTGTCTGTATCTTATCATTACGTGCCATGAGGACAGAGGTGTTCTGTTTTGTTTAGGCTCAGGAAATCTCTGTGAAATGAATGATTATGTGGGGCAGGTCATTACGTTGTGTTTGGCTTGGTCACTGAGGGTCGGATACTGGGTAGCCACGGTGCTGTAATGGTCTGTCCTCATGGACCCTGCGTCCAAGGACCTGACAGTCTAGCGGTCAAGCTAAGTGTGGATGTAACCAGCTGGAACAGGATGGCACAAGATATGTAACACAGGCAAAGCTCTGAGTGTGGTAAGGTGCTGTTAGAGCAGTAAAGAAATGACTCCGTTAACAACAACCTGGGGGCGGGAGACGGGGTAGCCCTTAAGTTGGGTCTTGAAGGAGGGCGTTTGTAAGTTAAGGAGTGGAAGTCAGAGGGCACGGGGTGGGTGGTGGGGTGACTGGGGTTGAGGGGAAGGCAAGTCGAGAGAGTGGAGCCCTGGCCGGAGCCACATGAAGAAGGGTGTCAGCGAAAAGCAGGGGATCGCGTGTGGTTCCAGGGGCTGGATGGCGGAGAAGAGGTGGGGATACTCACTGAGGGTGTGGGGAAGCCAGCAGAGGCTCTCGCTGAGAGCGAGGCAGTCCAGGTAGTGGTATGGGCCACTTTCGCGATAGTGGAGTGGAAGAAGTGGGTGGCTGCAGTAGACACTGTTAAAATCCAATCAAGAAAATTCGCTGATGACTTGTTATGAGCGAAAGGGAAGAGGTGAGGGTAACTCCAAGTCTAGGGGGTCCAGCTTGAGGGTGAGCCCTTTAAGGGCATGTGGCGTTCCTTGCCACGACGGGCTGTCAGGCAGAGAAATGGGACATGAGTTTTGCCCTTGCATTCCTAGTCTAGTGTGGGGGGGTGAGATCTCCTTGAGTGTAGTAGGATAAGCTCGGTGATAGCGTTAAATGCAGGGCACTGTGGAGAGTGGTGAGCTGAAGAGGGGGTGCCTGACTCACAGGACGTGCCGGACGATGGGATCTTACCCATCTTTGTCAGGAGATGGTTGACTTGTGCTGAACTCCATTAATAGAAAGGAGAGGATGAGGAGGGTGTGTGTGTGTGTGTGTGTGTTGGGTGGGTGGTCAGCTCCCAAGAGGAAGACTTGCTTTGGACATGGGGAGTGGAGGTGCCAGAGAGTCGTAGTTTGGATGATTTCCAACAGGTAGTTGTCCTTATGGATGTAGGGTCCAGGGGAGCGCGAAAGGCTATAGTTGAAACCGACAAAAAGTGATGACGAGGTGGAAACTCCAGAGCAGATCGTCAGTGGACAGGGAGTGCGCTGTGCGTGGCGAGATCCAAAGCGGCTTCACGGAGGAGGCGGGCTTTGAGCTGAGCGCTCCAAGACGTGAAGGCTATGGGTAGGCGCGGACGAAAGGAGAGGACAAGCCAAGTCACAGTGATTGGTGGGGATGGGACAAAGGCCACACAAGTTCGATGCCGTGCTGTTTCGTGCTTGGTCTGGAAAATACCTGTCCATTTTTTCATTTATTTCCACGAAGCTCGTACTGATGTATAAGCTGAGGAAAGGAGGTTTGTCTTTAAGGAGTTTTTTAAAAAAAAATGATTCATAGATGAAATGCATCTCTCCTAGAAACGAAACTGTCCATTTCGAGTTTTTTTTTTTTTAAGATTTTATTTATTTATTTGACAGAGAGAGATCACAAGTAGACAGAGAGGCAGGCAGAGAGAGAGAGGGAAGCAGGCTCCCTGCTGAGCAGAGAGCCCGATGGGGGACTCGATCCCAGGACCCTGAGATCATGACCTGAGCTGAAGGCAGCGGCTTAACCCACTGAGCCACCCAGGCGCCCATCCATTTCGAGTTTTAAACCTGGCGGCCACACAGCGTTGCAGGTCATCGATGAAGCTGAATCAGGCATGGAACTAAAGGACTCCCGTGATCTCTGTCTACTTACGACTGGGTCAGACCGTGTTAACACTGAGGTCACTCAAATCAACCGTAATCGTGACCGACTCATTCATGGTAGCCTTGGGTACCTCCCGCTCGTGTAGGCCGACTTTGCCCATTCCTTTGTGTTGTCTTAAAAACAAAAGCAACCAACCCTAGCTCTGGGCAATCACTGGCCCTGCAGATTGCTGGGCTGTGGGAGTGCTGTGCACAGTTTCCTTCCCTTGAGCCTGTCGCCTGACAAGAGCACTTTGTGCTCTGGTAAATGCCC